AGCCATCTGACAGCTTCGTCTTGACCTCGAGAAGTGCTACCTCTATGACAAAGTCGATGACTGCTCCAAATTCTAGCCACATATGGTGTCCGACGTTGGCTCTTCTTCATCTTCCTTGCCCCCGGATCACTCGGTGCTAGCAATGATTGGAATCCCCCGAAGGGCGATACCATCAACCACTGACCTCTTTGTGCCGTTGTTGCAAGAAGGGGCCTTTCTCCCTCCTTCCAGCAACGCATGACTCCTCCCTTACTGCTCGATCTTTAATTATTATTTTCTTAGGAAACAATAATTCTTCTCAACATACAAGACTTATATGTATCAATATTACAGCTCTAATCCCCTTTAAACTATCTAAGGACAGTAACTATGCATCTTAGTTAGCATAATTCTTCAATCTCTTATTTAGATATGATTTATTAGGCTATCTCAACGGTTGTCTACCAAAAAAGATCCAAATTCCAAAAGAACCTAACTCAATAATAAATTCTGATAACAAATTATGGATTTAAACAATTAATTTGATTGTGTGATTTGAGTGTATGATCGAGAAAAATCTCTCCCTATGTATAAATACTCATAACAATTTTACAATAATTACCTTCTCTTATGTTGTCACATGCAAAATAAAACTATCGAAGAATTAATGTGATGCTTAAATACCATTTATGTCCCTAACAAACATATAATTAGTTATAGTAACACTACTTGGGTTGCAACTCGGACAAACAAAGGTTGTGTATAGAGGAAAGGAAAAAGAAAAGCCATGAAGCATCTTCTTCGAGCGTAACCCTTTTGGCTTGGTGTTCGCTCGCCTTCCTCCTCACAGACTTCCCTTTGCTATCATCTTTAAGGTGGAGTTCACGCGCCTAAAAACAAGTTTAGTGCCGGTATACGTCAGCAACTTTGTCTAGTTGAAACCAACCAGCCCAACTCTTCGGTGCGTTCAATCTAAAGTTACGATCGATCACGATCACTTCCATTCTTTGTTGCAATAGCGGTGGGGGTAAAGGTAAAAGAAGGCAATCAAAATGATCCACTTCCATTACTTTTATCCAAGTTTAGGCACATGGAATGACTTGAGGGTTTTGCCATACCACCAGAAACGCTAAACACAAAGCAACAAAGAGATATCAAAACACCACCACTTCTCATCCTTAATTGATACAGACGACTCGGTCCTCTACACTATTATGTTGAACCTCTTTGTGTTTTTGCTTGCCTCACTGAACTTGATATCGAATTCTCATAACCTGATTAGCAAAAGAGTGTCTCTTCCGTCTGCTCTCCATAAATATATACAAACTAATGGACAGCCGTTGATTTCAAGATTTCTGCTAAGCATTTCTTGGAAGGGTCTAATATAGATAAATATAATTAGCGAGACAAGTTAATCTCATTTGTTACGAGCCGCAAACAGGCTTTGGCGAGGCACCTGGCAAGTCCTGTATCGTGATGCAGAAAGCTGGATCGGCTACCTACTACCCAGGAGAAGCAGACACACCGACGCGTCGACGAGAGGAAGGGAAAGGTTGGATAAGGATTTCCAGTCGAGAATCCCACCAACAAAGCGCACATAGAGAGCATCAAGAAGAAGAAGGAAATGAACAAGTGACATGTTGCTGCCTCAAGAGTCAAAAAAGATTGCAAGCTCACTGGTTGGCCGACTTCCTTTGGGAGTCCCTCATTTCACACAACTTTGTTTCGGAGACTCGAAGCCTACGTTCATCGTGACCTCGGATTTGCACTGCTACCCATGCAAGAACGGCCTATAAATACCCTTGCACTCCCCCTCTTCTTGACCACATCTCATCTCTCTCAGCTCACGACTGGTTTAGCTGCAATGGCTAGCAGAACTCGGGCTAGGCTTTGGGCTCTTGCCTTCGTTGCTCTTCTGAGTTTCGAGCTTGTCCTGGCTGCTAGATCGCTTACTTGGACTAGCGCCGGAGGTGGCGGCGGTGGGGGTGGTGGTGGTGGTGGAGGCGGAGGCGGTGGGACTGGTGGTGGGTCCGGACATGGTTCCGGCAACGGCTCTGGGTATGGTGAGGGTGCCGGAGGA